ATTATCAATGGTTATTCATTGAATGCATTAGTCCAAGTATGTCATTGGTAATCAGTGAAATTCAACTTCATTGTCTCTCGGAAATCACTAATAAGTGAATGATTGCTATAATCGTTGACAAATCAGTGGACTTTGCTGTTCTCGCTAATTGCACAGCGGGGCTCTGTTTCACTTATTCGTTAGCGATGCGAGGCGTTACTGACTCAATCAGTGACTTTTCCACTGATTCAGATTTAGAGTATTGCTGCAATATATATTTGTTCTTTTATGAATCTTGAGCGCTTCGAATTGATTGAAATATTTATGATCTCGCGAAAGGTATCAATAAAATAATTAATATGACGATACGGACACGCGTTTGTAAAGGACATTTGATATTTTCAATTTCCGTTAACAACAAATATATCATTATATTTCGTCGGCATTATACGGATCTGCTTTTCACGTCATTTATATTTATGTAAATAGGTAACGTTTGACAAAATTTCATGCGGTAAACATGTTAACAGTGTCAGCTTTCATCGGTCGAATATTTTAAATGCCCTGTTTTCCATTATCGATCTCACCGGCATCACACGATTTTATATGCATGTCGCAGGACGACCGGCTCTGCGACGGTATAACGATACACCGCGTGTAACATATGTAATTTTGCCGAAATATTTTTAACTAAATACGGCACGACGCGCTCGCGTGTGTGCAAAAGCAGCATACACGAGAGGCTTCTTCTATTTCCAATAAAATCACTGCAATACATTCGTTTTGGCTGATATTAATAATATTATAGCTGCGTATTTATTCGATCTTTCTATTCCAGGCAATATATAAATATGTGTTCGCCGTTATTTTATCATAACTCGCACAGAGAGAACCAAGTGTGCATGACGGGAAAACTCCATAAATTAATTTGATCTATTTCACGTTTGATTTTACTTTATAAAATAAAAGGCGCGGAACGGATAAAGAATTGATCTTCGGTCGCGAAGACTGTCGATAGCGGAAGTTTAATGAAATGTACGTTATTTAACGCATACATTATCGGGGATACGTGTAATATTCGCGCAACAACGTATAATATTCTTTTTGTGAAGTCTTTCTCTGCGGACATTTTCATCAAGTTTATTTTTTTTATATCATCTGTAATTCCGACGAGTCTCCAACCTGCGTTTCGCCAGGAACATTTGTCGCTGCGTACTCGACGAAATACCGCCTCATGTAATACTTTGAAAATATTATTACGAAATTTCATGTTACACTAGTAAAAATATACGTAGATTAAGTTTTTCTACGGACATATTAAAAATCGTGTATAAGTTTAATGAATTTTTTTATGGAATAAGGAAAGGGCAGTCAGTGAATAAAGTAAAATGTCATGAAAGAATTATTGCGTCTTCAGCAGTTTATTCGTTCATATTTTTTTTAATGCGAACCATATCTTTTCTTAAACTCGATGTTCGACATTTATTATTAGTGCACTGCATTTCGTTACTAATCTATTATTATGATTATAATCCGAGGAATAATTGTTTCAAATTAATACTGTTATTGATTAATTGCATGCAACTGCCACAAAGGATATTATTATACATAATAGGGTATATAGTTTTATAAATACATCGCTGAAATGAAGCAAGTTACAAGAGAGGAAAGGTATGCTTTTGCATATAGACACCTCATTTTACCTTGTTAAAATACTTGTACACGTACCTAAGGATTGCGCCTGAGCAGTATCATGAATATTCCGCGTTCATTTTCTCTAGATTTAATTTCCGCTTGTATTTTTCTTGGACAAGCATGAAGCATAAGGTATAATACGTAATAAAACGGCATCCAAGAAACTTTTATGTATCATTAACTTTTCTATAAAGCTAGTATCGTGAAGAATTTAAGATTGAACACTAATTTTTCATAAAGTTCTAATTTTCTAAAATTCTAAATTCACATATATATTTTCTTCATCATGAGATTAAAAAAAATGTTAGTAGCACGCTAAATAAAAAGCTTCATTTTTCAACGAATGTTTGTCATATATGATATTTATATTACGCGTCTTCCGCGTGATGATTTTAATTAGAAATATCTTTTTTCCTTATTCTTGCATTATGAAAGAAATTTGTGCGTAACGAGATTGCTAATATCGAGTTGTTGCTTTAACCATTAACTTCCTTTACAGACGCTGTATCGCTTCATACACGAGCGTAACGCCGGTAGACACTTACTTTTTAATGAGATCAGTAATATCCCAACAGCTTTGTTCCGGAGTTTCGCATACACCGGCGAAATAACCTACTACATCTATTCGCGTCTTTGCTTTATCGCTGAGAAAGGTAGACATAATGACTTACAAGGCGTGTAAAGTAAAATCCATATGGAATATAAAGTGCGTCGGATTCCATATCGCAATAAATGCATAAACATTTTTATCGCGTAAATCTTTATTCATCACTCTCATTTGTTTTGAAATTTATACGACTCGATATCCATTAACGAGGAAACAATTAAATTTTGATGTACAACATTTCAGGGTTGTAAATTAAAACATTTTACGAATCAAAAGCGATTTGCAACATTCTTCAAGAGGTATGTGTGTGTGTGTGTGTGCGCGCGCGCGCGTTCTCGTATTCAAATTTTATATTTTCGAAATTAATATTTTTCCCTATTTTATATCGATTAATCAATGTTGTCGTACGTTATTGCAAAGGCCACCTGCAGTAAACTTGTTAATTGGTCGCGCTAATTAAATTGAGTGATCTTATGATAACCGCGGCCCCCTCTCTCCCCGCGCGACGAAGAATAGAGCTCTCTGTTTGAGATACCTGATTCGAAACTGCCCCCCCCCCCTTCTTTCCACTGTGGTCTATCGCAGTACTATACCATTACTATCCCGTTTTATCTGGCTTCCACTTCTTCCCGCATACGCTTCATTCACTTTCCCTCCACTACTACCCGTCAGCGTCACTAACTCATTTAAAACTCCGGGGACAGCCCTTTAATTAAAAAAGTTTACGCTTCTTATTGGCCGGCCCCCCCCCTCCCCCCGTCACATCGAGGTCTAATTGAAAATTACTTGGCGAATAGGTATTTCCATGAATAATTTTACACCGCTGCGTGCAAAAGTGTATAATCACACTTGATCTCTGCGGTAATTTGATATGTTTATGAGTAGTATAATAATTATGCTAAGCGTGCTCGTCTAAAGTAGCACGTTTTGCCAAATGTACCAGAAATTCCAACTGTTCTCTCTGAGTGATTTCGACGATTTCGATCGATATAATATACGTGCAGCGAAAAGTATATTGCCCTCTGACGCAATTCTGTATGGTACCTTTACCACAGGAGGAAATATACCGTTCGCGTATAAGCGCAAAGGCGGAAACGGGAGATGCCCCTGCGCCGCTGAAATAGATTGTACGTTGACCCTTTCCTCCGGAGTCTGAAGACGGAGTATATCACATATATTGTATATGGCAGAGAGGGAAATAGAATTACGTTGTTCCTTTTCTCGATGAAATTAAATTACTACCCTGGCCATTAACGCGAGTAGAATTTCATTACGTCTTACTTTTCAAAAAGACGAGAGAATTACGACTACCTTCTCGGCGGGATTGTTCTCTTTTCTCTCTCTCTCTCTCTCTCTCTCACGAAACTGCAGACAGCATATGGCAATCATACGCGCTTTGTAACGAAATACCAATGAGAGCGATTTATACCTCGCTTTTACTTTTTATACCTCGACCAGGCGCAATCAATATGATGCATGCCGCGCTAAAAGAATGAGCACTTAATACCCGTCTGTTTAAAGTGATAAAGCTGCCTCTAACAAGTACGAGTTTCTATCTTTGGCCAACGGGATTGAAACTCTAAACGGCGCACTCGCTCGTCGGAATAAATTGCGTAGCATCAAGAACGATTGTTCGCACTTTGTTCGCGTGTTACGCGTCGAATAAAAATGGCGCGAGAGCGATACACTGGACAGACAGAGTGACCGCGTATTTCTCGGAAAGCTTGAATTTAATTCATTCCTTAGAGGCGCTTTCAGAGATCCCTCCCCTCCCTCCCGTCCATTTTCGTGTCCCGTCTTTCTCCATGAATACCTCGATTAATCGCGCGGAATTAAAAGCGCACAAAGAAGAGAGGAATGTAGGGAAAAAATGTAATTCAATTAATCTCGCGCTGCGCTGGCTTTCGACGATGATAATTGCACGAAAAACGTGAGTGAGTCTTTACGGAGGGCTCTGATAAAGCTTCAGCAATACCGTGTGCCATTTCGAGATATTTTATTCGCGGAATTGTAATTCCCTCGCTTTGAAACTAATGAATTCCCGCCTAGAGATATTTCATTCATTAAAATTACGTGAAAATGCGGGTAATATCGAGATATGAAAAATATTACGTATTGCTGCGTATGTTAATATCAGATATAAATTAAATTTTCAATTTTAAAGCTGATTTCTGCAGGATTAAATTATGCTGACAATAACTATTTACCCCGAAGTAGAAAATTCATTAAAATTTCAACGCGTTTATTTCGAGGTAAATTGTGCCAATTTCTCGATATAGGTAATGAGCACGCATCTCTTGCGTGTGTGTATTACGGGCCGGCGCAATTAGGTTGCGAACACAGTGGAAGGATACGCTTTTACGAATCTGGAAATTCTCGCAACACAGCAACGCCGTGAGTAACCGTTGCCGTTGTAATGAAAATGGTAGCCTTAAGGGGTTACACCACCTTGGCCGCCCAAAAATCATAGTAACTTTGGGAATTTTTTTTAGGAAAACAATAAACGTAATAGAAAAATCGTTTTAAGGCTTTAGTAATG